ATGTGACATATGCTTTTACTAGAAAAAATACCAAATGTTGCTGTGCTTTATGTAGTTTCCCATAGAATTTCCTGTGATAATACAAAGCAAATTGAGGCAGATGAATTTGAATGGAGATGATATACTCTGCTGTAGGAAGACTTGGATTCAATTTTATCCTTAAATTTTATTTGGCCATGTCAAGTACTGAGAATAATGCAAATCTTCATTGAAGATTTGAGTTTTAAAGAAAAGTTGTTTATGCTTCTGTTTAGTGTTGAAGTATCATGCAAAAGTTAGACTCTCAGGAGCCTTTAGGGCCTTTTGTATCTATACTACCTTGGAAAGTGAGGCTGCCTCTGCTTTACTAAACAGGGTGACTTGCAAGGAGGTTTATTGATGAGTAACTAAGTAGAAATGGTTCTACAGATAAAGGTTCTCTAATTAATATTTAAATAAAGTACTCTAACAGAACTTTCATGGTATATGTGTTTAATATGGCTTCCGTGCTAGAACAGGAATATATTTGTTCCCCACGTTGTAATAGCCTTTGTACTGTTTATCATCTAATTGCTAACTTGTATTATTTCAGGGAAGTCATATTGATACGATAGTATCTTTGCATCACATAACTTATAGATTGCTCATTCTGTGTTCATCCTCCTTTTCATGGCTTTTTCCTGTTTCATTTTGATTTTTTATTTTATTTTATTTTGCTCCTGGAAAATACTTGTGGGTTTAGTCAACTAGACTGCTAGATAATTTTGATAGGATGGAGCTATTGAACTATAGATCTGTTCTCCTTTTTCTTCTAGTTCATTCAGTAAGCATGCCTTACTTGCAAGTATTTGTAAGTGTTGCTTTTTAATTTTGGGATAAAAGAAAAGAGTTAATCATTTGCTGTATTATGTATCTCAGGAAAAAAAAGTATTCAAAATGTTTACAGGGAAAATTTAGCAAAGAGCAAAATGAACTACATGAGCAAAATAAACAGCAAGTAGAAAAAAACCACTGACTTCCAAATGAAGGAATAATGGCAATAAATATTAATAGTCACAGGAAACAAGGACTCCTCTGAAGTTTGATAAAAACTTAGAAAAATTTCTTACATGATTTTGTTACATCTTTCTCAACTAATGCCTCTGAAATTATTGATTCCTCTTGAAATTGAAAAGGGAATTGAGAAATAGGAAACATAACTCAGTTCTGTTACAAAAAATATAAGGAGACATTAAAAAACTGACTGTTTCCAAAAATTGTCTTGCAGTGATAAATATTGTGCACTCTGTTCTTTTCCCAAGGAAGAAATTTAGTGATGTGAAATCCAGTGTAAAATGTGCTAAAACTAGAAACATTTTCTGATTGTTTTACTGGGGAGGAAGCTACCATAGGGATCTAGAAAGGCTCCTGACTTTCTCTGATGACTTCTTAAACAATGTTTACTGTTAAGTTGGTATACTAAGGGAACATAATAGTTTCTGAACAAAGGAGAAGAATGTAAAGCTGCACTGTGCCTCTCTTGCATGGGACCACGCAGTGTCCTCAGGCCATGGAGAACAGGAGAGTAAAGCAGACAAATTGACTGAAATTGTCCCAACTTTTAACGCAGCCTCTATGAACGAGTAAAGGTTTTCTCTCAGTCAGATAACAGGTTTTTTCTGTATGAGGGTAATATTTTTCAAATGTATGTAACATCTTCTGTTAGTCATTAAATGCTTTTCTTGTGGTATAACAAGTTTTATTTTTAGATATTTATTTATCATTATCTGGTAGACAATATGTTATAAAAGGGAAGAAAATACAAGTTAGCAACATGCTTCTACAGTGTAAGATATATCAGCAAAAGCAATAAATAAAAAAACATTTTAAAGCAGACTTTTTTATTAGGTGAATGCTTTTTATTTTGTTTCTACTACTTATAGCTGAACTGACATAAAAATTGACATTTCAAGTAGCAGAAAATTAGTAAGTATATGAAATACCCAGGTAATGCTGCAGATACGGGTGAAAAACCTATTTAATTCCCTGTGACAATGGAAAGATTTTGAATGTGACAGCTGTTGTTTGGCATTTCATGAGCTTCATAGGAATGGCACTGCCGGAGGTGATCAGCTGCTTTGGGAGGTGAGGGGGGAGTGGAAAGGAATAGCACCTTTCCAAAGGGATGGAGAGATCCCACATAGAAGAGACCCAACATGGAGATGGAGGGGGGGGTGGGTGGAAGATGTTGAAGGGAGACTGGGGGAGAGGAGAAGGATGAGGATGGGCCAGAGTTGCTGGTCCATGTCTGATCAGCTTCTGTTCTCAGGGTGTTTTAATAATTTGAAAAGAGGAAAAGAAACTGTCAGGGGGAAAAAAAAGTTTTCTTAAATGGAGTTAGGATTATTGGTATGCTTTAGTTGTGAGAAAAAATTCATTATAGTGTTGTAGATTTTTATGTGTGGTTTTGAAAGACATCACGCTAAAACCAAATTATAAAACATAACTTAAAATTAGAGAAGCATGGGCTTTTTTTCTCTGGTATTCTTGCTTATGTTTTAAGTCATAGCACTCACACAACTTGCTATCAGGAACTGGTCTTGTCCAAAAAATTCAGACTGCTTCAGTATATCCATTGGAGAGGCGTCATAAGTTAATTATATACTCGTGAAATATTGTCTAACTTTCTGTTTGGATTATATATGCAGTGGATAACTTTACCTTAACACAAATACCATAAATTGCTTTTCAAGCCAGGCACACAGTCTTCAAAGTCATGTACCTTTCATAGCTTAAAAGATGTATATCATGCCAGTTGTTCTTCCTGGTGAGCGTCTGATTGTTTTATATCATGGTCGTAACTGATGGAAGCTCATCTAAAACATAAAGATGGTCGTATCTTTCGAAGACGATCATTTATAAAACTAGGAAATATTTCTCCTCTCCCACCCACAAATTTCCCTTCCCCCCAACTGAAACCAACTAATTAGTTCAGTGCAAACAAAGGAATCTTTCTGGTAAGAAGATTTAAATGAGAACAACTCACCCTTCACTGAGGTAGTGGTCATGGTGACTCACTGAAGGAAGAAGTCCAAAAGTTTTCAGGTGCACCACAACTGCTGCCAGTCTAGTGGAAGAAATCTGCCTTTTAGTTTGTGCAGGACAAGATTTGCTCAAGTGCTCTCTCTACTGTTAAAAGATTTTCCTTTGTGTATAATATGGATGATTTAGAAGAAGCTGTGTCAGCACTGATTTATACATTGACAGCTAAGGATAATAAGATATGGGCAAACATACAGCTCACCCTTTTACAGATTAACCTGCAGACTGCATTAGGCAAATTTGATGGCATTAAAAGATTTTTCCAATTTGACTGGAAACAATTTCTCTTTTGTATTGTGTCAAGGGTAACATTTCATGCCATTGTACTAATTTAAATAGCTTTGATAAATTGCTCAAGAGGTTAGAGAATTGTACTGTGTATATATCTTACCTCTTTAAAATAAAAAGGCTGTTAACTTAATTGTTAAATGAAATTCATTAGTAAAAATTGAAGGAGCCTGAGAAAGTCGGCTTAAATATTCCAGCACTGCAGCACTGGTGCTGTAACATTGCACCAAAATGATTAAAGATCATATTCAGGAAATGATATTTTGCATTTAGCTCTCAGTACACAGAAACACAGACACTGTTACAGTTAGGACAATATTTTATTCCCGGGTAGTAGTAATTCAGATGAAAAATGTGGATGAAACTAGAAGAACTTTATAGAAGTTGGTACATTACACTCAACAGTGGGTGTGATGATTTATTAATAAAGTAAAACATTATCATAGATTCAGAGAATCACAGAAAATGCTTTAGTAAAAGCCTCATTAGCCCTGCTAGCTAATATATAATTGAAGACAGAAGGGCAGAGTTCATTTGTATTTTGTTCATTTTCTTAGTATTGTGCACACACATTTCCTCATGTATATTATGTGACACTGACAAGATACCGGCTTGGAGAGGATCTTCTAGTCATTTAAAGTGAGGTTGTATCATCTTTGCTTTGCAAGTCGTGCCCTGAAATGCGCAAGACGTGGCATATTTATAGGAAAAGCTGTTACCAGCAGAGGAACTGGGATTCTCTGTTTGCGTGGTTCTTAATTTCAGCCGACTTTTTAAATTGGACAGTGTGTACTGTATCAATGTTTTGAATTGGAAAGGTTATAATATTCTTCAGAGAAATGAATGTAAATTTTTCATAACTTAATACTTAAAGATTAATAATGTATGGGATGGATTGCTGAGTTTTATGTCCAGAATTCAAGTGCTCCGTTACAACATCCTATCTGCATATAATTGCAGAGAGCACCAAGTACGTAGGAAACCACGTACTGGAGGCTACAGCAGAACTGCTAGGTTCACTGGGAGCAGAGTTAAAGGCGAGAGGTGACCAAGTGTGCAAATGCCTTGGACACTATTGTGCCTACATACAGAAATATTCTAGAAGGTAATTGTTCTAAATCCCCCCCCACACCGCCCACCCGGTCCAGGCGTGCACGCAGGCAGAGAGACCCCTAAAAGTGGTGTCTCTCGCCGGTCCCTGCCGCGGCGGGTGGAATTAACATGCAGCTGGGCTGCTCTGATAAATGGATTCTGTTAGGTCACCGAGGGGATGCGTGTGACATTAAGTGATTTACCGTCCTTTACCTTAATGAAATTGTTTCAGCAAGATGACGCTGAGAGCTTTTAATGGATAGCTTTTCTTGATGTAATGAAATTGCATTCCTTTGGCATTTAATATAAGGTGCAGTTATTATTTACTGGAGCTTTCCCAGCGCTGCTGTTTTGCGCAGACAGTTCAGAACAAAAAGGGATTTCTGTAGCAGCGTCCAGGCCAGCATGCTGTGTGACAGTCTCAAGCGTACGAGCGTGTTTGTGGGAGCGTTTCGGTGTAGCGTGGCCTAGCTCTGCCGGCCCTTCAGGAGGTTTTCTTTGCACCTCACCGCTGCCAGCGCTCGTCTCCCTTACAAATACCTTCCTAATCTGTTTAACAGGCAACTGGATTACAACCAGATCAGCTGTATTGAAGATGGGGCGTTCAGGGCTCTGCGCGACCTGGAAGTGCTGTAAGTATTCCTGTATCTCTTACTTGTAGCGGGAGCTCAGTATCTGGGGAGTACTAATGTAAAAGCTTATCTGCGAGCTGCAGCCTGGTGTCAGGATGGTCTAGTGAAAAGATGTCTTAAAATAATCCACTGCCATGTGCTGTAAAATGGTAAAAAGATGTGGAGGGGCAGAGATATTCCTTTACTCTACGAGACAGACATTGAACACAATTTAAAAAAAAAAAAAAAAAAGCAGGTGGCAGATACTGTAAGAAAAGAATATGTTTCCTTCTAAAATGGGGGGTGTCAGTATTAATGAATCCAGTTAATACTCTATCCATCACTGTTAAGTGCTGAACATTTTCAGGGTTGCCTTTGTTGTATACTCTGACATCAATTTGGTCGTTCAGACTCTGTTTAAGGAACAACATACTATATGTATTTGGCAATCTGGATGTTTTCAATGAAGCACTTTTTTTGTCAAACACTACTGTTATCTGTTAAGATGTTTAGCATGTCCACGTTAAGTGCTTTTTTTTTTTTTTTTGACGTGTTAAATTTTATGTGTATAAATATACATACATGTAGAAAAATATCTTTTTTATGTCACTGAAGGTTAGTATTGCAATACTCTTTTGCATACTTTTTCTCGCGGTCTCAAAGCAGCCATCCGTGAGGTTAAAGGTAAGAAAATTATCATCAGTGACCTCTGACCTGAAAGTAGTTACTGTAATGAGCAAAGTGCCACAGTTCCCAAAGAATCTGAGGCACAGGACACATTCCTGAAATATTTGCTCTGTCAGTCAAACTGTCACATTTTTTCTGGGCTTTCTACGTTAAGAGGAGTGAAAGGCTTCTGTATCAGTGAGTTATTTCATGGTAGCTTGAATCACACTTGGTAAATCACAACACCTGGGGGGGGAGGTTGTTGAGTTTGGGGCTTTTTTTTAAGATTCTGAAGTAAAGAAGCTTCTTTGGCAATAAGTAGTGTCCAAGAAACTAAAGAGTGTGTGAGCTGCTGGTGGGAAAGTTTTTTATTAGTAAGCAATGGTTGGTCTTTCTTATGAATGAATGGATCTGACAGCTAAATTTGATTATTTTCTTTAATATTATAATTATAAAATAACAAGCCTATTGTTAATTTTCTGGTAAAAAGGCATGTAAAGTGTACTCTTGGTTCAATATTACATCTAATTGTGAAGCTGATGAATTTTTGGTTGTCTGTCAGTAAACCTGATCTTCTGTGAAATTTTTATCTTTGGAACTCGTGTATGTGGCAGCATAACTTTTCCAGTGATGGCTTTATCTGGTTATTATGTTTTTTAATACAAGCCTTTCTTTACGACTGAAATTCTTAGATATATTTATTTAAAAAAAATAATAATTTTCTGCATTTTTTAATGCTTGCAATTTTTGGTGTTCTAAAAAGGTCATCCTTGCCAGTTGAAGTCAGTGGTAAAATTTTCACATTGATTTCAATGAATGCAAAAAAGGAAAAAAACTCTGTTAAAATAATAGTCTCCTGAAAAAGTAGGTAGTTAGAATTTTGTGAATGAGTATACAGAGAATATTAGCATTGTTCAACAACTGAATGTTTCCTATCTGAATTATGTCATAAGCAGTGATGTAGAGATTAAGTTTTTTAAAAAATGAGTTCGATATTTCAAACAGTACTGAAGGGTTTGTATCTAATTCAGCTTCCTTTCCCATACAGCTTGAAGAATGAAAGACACGTAGATCAGCCCATACTGTGTATGCACTGAGTAGCATATGACTACGTGTTTTGTTTTCATTTGTAATTATTCTATCTAAGCACAGAATGTATATTTTCCTTCAAATGATAAGTACATGATAAAGCTTTTAAGTAATCTTTAAAGTTGCCTAGGATGTAATCCTGTTCAGTGACAGTTTGAAATGTTTATCAAAGTAACATGTCATATATTGGTTAAATAACTGCAGAATCCTAGAGACTGTAAGTGTTAAAGTTACAAAATTCACCTGAAATCTGGACAATTCTGTAAGATGAAGGCAATTACAGATACAATGTTCCCTGTGAATTTCTGTGAAATTCTATTTTTCCTTTTTCTCTTTTTTTTTTTAAAGGGAAAATCTGCTGTACTCAGGAGACAGTTATTGTGGGAAAATATATAGTACTGTCATATTAAAAAAAATGAAGTATCTAAGAAATTAAAAAAAGTCTTTCAGTCATGACACTCTTTACAATAGTATGTAATGCTTAGGTAAAAGTATTGAGCCAACTTTTTTTTTAATTATGCCTCTGTAAGGAAATCAAGCATTTTCATCAATAGATAGAAATAGTTACGAAAATAATTTAATTCCTTATGTATCCCTTATGTCTATTCCTGATACATTTCTGTACCCTTGCAAAAATAAATTAATATTTCACACATACAAAATAGCAAGGCGAACGTCAAACATCTGAAATTGAAAATTAAAACATTTGTAGATACACCTTCTTTAAACAGCTAACAACTATGTATGTACCGATTTCCATTCCCTTCACTGAAAAGATATGATTTCGAACCCTTGTAAGAAGTGATGTAGGAAGAACTATGGGAGCTGCCATTTACCATGTGGACATTGTATGAAAATCCTGCCAAGATTTACTGAATGTTATTTATTCATTAAGGCACCTTTTGCGGACATACTCACTTGGCCGTTTTTTGTTGTTTCATTTTTGTTCTGTTTTGAAAAAGGGCATGATTCTCCTTTTTTCTTCTTCTTCTGATTATTCTCCTCTTTGTTTATGTAGCCCTAAGGGCACACAGGGGAGATCCCGTATGCGCAGTGAAGAAAACGTTTAGGGCATGGAATGAGTAAGCACACAAAGATAAAATGCAGCACATTGCACCAATAATTAATTGCTTGGTTAATGTGGAGATGTATAGCCTGATCCTGTTCGGGGTGCTGCGTATTTACCTTTCTGTATTTCAGGATCAGATAGTACTCAGAAATTTATTTAAAGCGAGCCCAAATAACACTTTGTGGGTTTTTTTTAAAAAAAAAAGGCAAAAAGAAACAAGTAAAACACTTTCTGTTTTTCCCTTTTGAAAAAGGGTTGGTCAGAAGGAATTATTTATTAGTGCCATAGGTATGCATTTAAAATCCCGGAGCACATTCTCCATTGTGCTCAAATGAATGATCTCTATGTCAAAACTGTAAATTCTATTGCTTGTTTCCTTGTTCTGGAGTCAAGCTTGTTTGCATTTTATTTGCAGCCTAAAGACAATATTTAACTGCAGGATTGTTCATAAAGTTTCATTATCTTTATAAACTACACTTACTGAGTGTGACGGGTCTGAGCTAGCCAACAATTGGCTAAGATTTGTTCCTCATTCCTAAGTCAACTTCCAGGCACCTTGTCTAAAATCTAAACTATTAGTTTGCTAAAGTATTAAGATTCCTAACTCCTTCCATTGTATAGCAGAAGCTCCCCTATCGTTCATGCAGCTCTGGATCATCTATAGCAACTCTGTTCCACGTAAAACCTAATCACAGCCCAGAGTTAATCTTTTCCTAAAATTCTTGAGAAGATTTTGTACTTGTATCCTCTGTCAAAAAAAAAATGGACTCTCAGAAGCTAGAAGGAGAAACCTGAGTCCTAGAATGAAGGCATTTTCTCCAAGAACTCTTTCGCACATCAGGATGACAAGCCTAGCTTGAATGTTGTAGATGTTCTCAACATTGGTGGAAGCTCCATTTGAGTGAATCATAGGGTACTGGGACCTCAAATTACTTAGGTTTATTAAAGGAATGGTCAAACCGTAGCATTTTACCAGGGATTGAACAGGAAGGAAAAGTATATCTAAAAGCATGGGGTTTTCCCTGATACCCATCCCTAAAAACAGTACACCATGATCTTCATTAGCTATGCTTTTTTTAAAGTGTGGTAAATGTGACATAAGTGTAACATGTTGACGTGCATCTTCTTGACTCCGCAGCACTCTCAACAACAACAACATCACTCGGCTGTCCGTGGCAAGTTTCAATCATATGCCCAAACTCAGAACATTGTAAGTAGTCCCACTGAAAGCTGATGTTTGATCAGTCCAGTATACAATTTTTACCTCTATCAAGTTTTGTCAAGCTCAGTTAAAAAAAATTTTGAGGTATCATGAGGTTGATGAGTGTGAAGCCTGTATGTGCACGTATGGCAGCTAATTCTGAAAGGTACAGCTAACAAGTGACGCCAAAGCTGATACTTGGGGGTCAGGAGATACAGAAGCAGTTGCATACTTTTCCGTCAGCTTTTATAAGGTGTGGGATGAATAAGTCTATGAAAATGGTTTCATGGCCTTTTCCCAACTGGGTTTTCCATAGTGCTGTATTCAGTCACAGAAAAGCTTCACCTCCTAACAAAAAGGATGAGGGCAGGGGGGATTCTCTTTTATACAGCTGTATAGAGAAAGAAATTGATGTTTTTTGAAAGTCAAAAATTTGTTGTACTTTGAGCTATTGAATGGGTCACATTTCATTTAGGAACATGGAAGACTCTTTGATTGGCTGTCAGATGTGATAAATGGGAAATCTTTATGCTTTTATTACTGTACTGCTAGCAGACCTAATTAAACTAAACTAGCTCTCCAACATTCTTTGTAACATCAAATTATAGCATCATCCGGTAGTGCCATTATAATTAAAGTTGTGTCAGCATTTACAATAAGGTCCCCATTTTTAGAGGTTATGACTTTCACAGAAGAACACTTCAGGCTTCTAAAACAAAACACAGTGACAAGAGTGTGTATGCAAGTGACACAATTTGGGGTTATTTCTTTCGTATGTTTATACTGAACTAAGAATAAATGTATATTGTGCTAAGTGGCAAAACCAGGATATATCAAGGTGTAGTCCTGAGATTCTTTCAGACAGATTGTCCCATGAAGTGGGAATCAGAAATGAGTGGGATGTTCAAGAGTAGCTTTTGCTGTTAAAGAACTACTTTTACAAAGAGGCTGTCCGTTTTCTTTTACGCACAACCGTTTTGAAATCAGCAGGCCTACTCAATACCGTTTGTAACTGAAGAAACTTCATGCGGTTGAGTAGTTCAGTTGACTTCATAACAGAATTAGAGCTATTCCTGCTTGAACAGATACAAGAGTACTTAAATACTGTTGACCATGGGCTTTTGGTGGCCTCGGTTACATTTTAAGAGTAGAATTTCACTCCATTGTTTTGGGTTTGAGACTTCAAAATCTGAATGTCTGTACCTCTCTCAAACCTTCAAATACAATTTATAATCTGAACCACAAATTACAGTGAATCAAATTAGCAACATTTGCACTTTTTTTGGTGGGATATTTCATCTTCTGAAAATTTATTTTAGCAACAAAAGAAAATGGACACACAGAGGCCTAGATTATAGCTGTAACATCCCATTTGCAGTCAGAATGTGCTTGTATAACCGTATTGATTTCAGCGGCATTAGTTCTGATTCGCAATGGTGTTCTTGCCTACAGCTGGCCACAGATTGTACCGAATGAGTGTGCTGTACTGGGAGGTATATTTGCAAAGCACCCACCCAAGAATTAGTACAGGAAAATACATTGCTTTTAATTTCTAGTCATTTATGGGGGGTAAAAAAAAGTGAGTTAGAATGTTTTATGTTGGTTACATATTTCATGTTGCTTTACAGATTCTTTTTTTAATGGATTAATTAGACCCCTTGTCTAAATTCTGATTTTCTTGCACTTCCTTTCCAGTTATTTAGTTAGGATTGAGCACATCAGCTAAAAAGGACCAAAATGACATTACTCTGTTATGGATGATTCTGAGTAAGGATTTGATTTAAAGCTGTGGACATCCTTTTCTGTAGTTTGAGAAAATGTAAGAGCCAGGGAAAAGTAATCTACCTAATTTAGTGAATACATTTGTCTGATATTTTATCAATGGCAAAGTGCTTTTTGCCACTTGGCAAGGAGCCATGGTCTTGTATTGGACCCTGCCAACAGAGAGGCAACTTACTTAATTCCATCGCTTGCTGCCATTTGGTCTTTTAATTTCAGGCATTGCTTAGAACATAGGTCCCTAGGAGCCAAAAGCAGCTAATCCCCCTTTCTGTGATTAACCAAAAAGAGAGGAAATCAGAAAAGGCATGTGAAAGAAGGTGTTTTATATAGAGTTATTACTTTGTCTTGTTCAGCAGAAAATGAATATGACCTGTTAAAGGGATTTTGCGGGCTGTTTCTATAGAGACTAATAATGGCCAGTCTTACAGATATATCTAATTGGAAACCAAATCTTTTATTAACTCTCTTTTTCTGACAGTATATTATCACTATAGGGCAATTTACTTGAGACATTTTTGTCTTATTCAGTATTTCTACAGGTCTGGGCTAAAGAGTCCCACAGCAGCCTTCAAGCTCTTGTATATTTACTTCTTTCTTTTAGACAAAAGAAAGTACAGATAGGTTACTTTATTAGGAAGCCTTCTTTTTTCTTCCAATTAATTAGACCACAAATAAAAAGTAATTTTGCTGCTTGTATAGTTTTATTTATTAGCATTTAGCTCCCAGACTTTCAATGAAAGATGTGAAAAATTGATTCCTCATTAAAAATTTCTATTAATAAATTGGCATAGTTGCTTGCTGAAGGGGGGGCTGGGCAAATTGGTTGCTTTTCTGTTTGTTCTTCCTAATTGAAAAATATTGACGGGTTTCTTTCCATGCAGTCGTCTTCACTCCAACAACCTCTACTGTGACTGCCACCTGGCCTGGCTGTCCGACTGGCTGCGGCAGCGGCCGCGGGTCGGCCTCTACACCCAGTGCATGGGACCGTCCCACCTCCGGGGACACAACGTAGCTGAGGTCCAAAAACGGGAGTTTGTCTGCAGTGGTAAGGGAAACCAATTCGCTCACTGAGTCCTGCTTTAAAACACACCTACCGACAGCTCAGCGGTGATTGCTAGTGCTGCATGTTGACTTTTGCTAGCTTGTGCATAATCCAAGAGTTAATGTTTATTAAAAAATAAACTAATCATTTTTATTGCTATTTGTATCTTGTGTAAGGGTGCTTCTGTCCTTACAAATTTTGTGTAAATGCTGCATTCGCATTGAGTACATAGCCTTCTAAAAGTATAATTAGGGGGGAAAATGAAATAAAAGGTGCACTGGCTGAGAACATAAGGCCTTTAGTAATAAGGAATTACTATTTTTTAACTTTACAGGTTGTTGTTTTTTCTTGCTGTTATTTTCTGCAGTTTAAATAATACTCTGAATCCCTAAGTAACTTTCTGAATGTTATTGGTATGCTCTAGTGCATCAGATTATTTTCTGATATGAAATAATGAAATGACTAACAGTTCGCTACTAACCACATTTTCTCTATTCAATTTTTTTTCCTTTATTCGTATCTTCTAGATGAGGAAGAAGGCAAGTTTATCTTTCTTATTTAAATATTTTTAGACTCAGATTGAAAATTTTCTGTAAACTTTGACTACTGTTTCCAGTTTCCTTAAAAACATTAAAAAACAGCTGGACCATAGCTATGTGTCTTTTCAGTGATTCAGCAGGGTTGTTTCTACTGGTTGATCTTCTGCAGACTGCCAGAAGCGTATTGCCAAATATGCCAAAATTTGCACAGATCTATGCCTTAAAAAGAGTTCTATGGAGAGCACAGCGTTCTGTCCTTACTAAACAGCCTCTGACATCAAAGTGCAAGGCACTGCCATCTTTGCACAGCAAATGCTGACAGTGTTCTTACCATTAATTCTGCCTTTATGTACACTTAAAAGGGCACCTAACAAGATCACTTCATGTAACTTATTTGTAAATGGTACGGCTGCAGAGCCCAAGTGTCAAGAACAGTTTTATAACTTCATAACATTATAATACCGATTTTGAGGTATATTTTGAGAAGTAAGTAGAAACAGCACTGGCTGCAACTTACATTATCAGTGTACCCTTCCTATGTTAATACAGTGAGACACATCTTTGTTAAAGTTGTGGTTTCATAGTCAAGAAGATTTTTTCCCTGAGAATTTCAAAACAGTCTCTAGCTTTTTTTGCCTTAATAAAAGAAAGAAAAAGAAGGCTTCATGCCTTTCTCATCCTTTTGTGCCTTTCTGTATCATAACAAAACAGCAGTTCTGTATCATTAAATTGATACAAGAACAAGTGCATTAATACATCAAAGAATGTGCAATCTGTCTATTTGCAGGAAAATCTAATAAGTTGTTTACTTTCTAAAACATGCCTAAATATGAAGTGATTATGTTTAAATGCAATTATAAATGCAGAGTTTAACATCTAGCACAAGAACTGGGGGGAAGCCATGTAAATTAGCCACCTGAGTTCGTAAGAATGGGCAATTGTGGGAGGAAGTAGTCTTTTGAGCTAACAGAGAGTGAGAGTATGAGCTGTGAAGTCAAAGCTTTTTCATACCTGAAAAATGGATCAGGCTTAGTCTTCTTTAACAAGATGATTTTGAATGCAAGTTGCTGAAGAAGTTGAAAAATGATGTAATGCTAGAACAGTAGTTGAGCATTTGTCTTTCATATCTCAGTGTTGTGTCCACATGTTGCTATTAATTGGCTAGTTAAATTAGTGCAATTCAAAACTATTGATGGGTTACAATGTTTATTTTATAAGTTCTGCCTAACAGTTTTCAAGGAAGTCTAAAATGTGATGTTTTACTGTTGAGGTAAACTGGACTACTGTTTGACAGTATTGTGCAATTTTAGGAGAAACTCTTTTCCTTTGCAGGTCACCAGTCCTTCATGGCTCCATCCTGCAGTGTCTTGCATTGCCCTGCTGCATGCACTTGTAGTAACAACATCGTGGACTGTCGTGGGAAAGGCCTTACTGAGATCCCAACGAACCTTCCAGAAACCATTACTGAAATGTGCGTAATCTGATTTTTTTTTTTTTTTTTTCTTCTAGGAACTTGCAGGAAACAGTTCTTTCCTATGTGTTCATTTTTGTTACTTGTATCAATTCATGCATTTTACAGGGTAGGAAATTTGGAGTACACATTAAAATTCCGATATAAAAGGAAGGAATATGCAGGTATATGAAAATATTTAAGACCCTTATGTTCTTTTATAAGTTAGTTTTGTATGTACTACTTGCAATCCATAGTTAAAACTGCATTCTGAGTTGGTTTTAAAAGAGTTTGGGAATACTTGCTTTTCTGCAAGTAAGTGGCTTTTCACTGCAGGCTATAAACCCTGTTGTCTTCAGAGTTGCTCGCTGTACTGGTTTTGGCTGTTATAGGGTTAATTTTCCTCATAGTAGCGGGTATGGGGCTGTGTTTTGGACTTGTGCTGGAAACAGCGTTGATAGCACAGGGATGTGTTAGTTACTGCTGAGCAGGGCTTACACAGAGTCAAGGCCTTTTCTGCTCCTCACCCCACCCCACCAGCGAGGAGGCGGGGGGGGCACAAGAAGCTGAGAGGGGGCACAGCTGGGACAGCTGACCCCAACTGACCCAAGGGATATCCCACACCATATGATGTCATGCTCTGCAGTAAAAGCTGGGGAAGAAGGATGAAGGGAGGATGTTCAGAGTGATGATGTTTGTCTTCCCAAGTCACCGTTACGCGTGATGGAGCCCTGCTTTCCTGGAGATGGCTGAGCACCTGCCTGCCCATGGGAAGCAGTGAATGAATTCCTTGCTTTGCTCTGCTTGCGTGCATGGCTTTTGCTTTCCCTATTAAACTGTCTTTATCTCAACCCATGAGTTTTCTCACTTTTACCTTTCCAATTCTTTCCTCCATCCCACCAGGGGTGTGAGTGAGCGGCTGGGTGGGGCTGAGCTGCCTGCTGGGGTTAAACCACGACACTCACCTTCAGTCACTTTATTCATCAGACTCCCTATTAGAGAAGTATATCTTTGCATGAAAGATCGGCAACCTTTACCACCCATAATAAGTATTCTGCTAAAGCAGTATTCTCAGGGTAGTCTGAGAAGACAAAAGTAAGGTGGTTGAATGGGATCTGTGGTGCAGAAAGAGCATGTGTGCTGATGAGGTTGTGTGGTATGTCATATACAGCAGAAACATTTACAAAAAGTACAACCATGTCCTGCCCATAGAGCGGAGCCGTAGGCAAAGGTGCAATGGGGCTTGTAGGCTCCAAGAGTGATATGGCTAAGAGGTTGTGTGGGCACAGATGGAAGGTTACTTATGCGTTGTCTTCTGTGCAGGGGAGGAACAAAAGCAAAATGTGAGCTTGCTGACAAGATGGGCAGGGACTCGGGAACACGAGCATCTTTTTATGCTGGGGACAGCAGAGGCAGTGTTTTGGAAGAGAAACTGAAAATTCCCTTTAGGGAAATGGTGGAAAAGTAGCTTGCCTTCAGCCTTGTAAGGAGGATCTGGCTAGAAGTAAATGAGTTAGAGAGAGTATTCAGAATAAAAACCTTGTGAGCACCTTGATGATACAGGATGATGTTGAGAATTTCAGATGAGGGAGGCGAGGGGCACAGATGCCTGAAGTGAAAGGGAAGAGGTCTCCTGAACATATATCTGTTGTATTTAAGATCTTCTTGAAGGTTTAAAAACAGGCCTCCACAATGAGATTTTAAAAGATAAAGTAGAATTTTACAATCTTATGGCAATCTCATGGCTTGTTGGTATCTGACCTGTGCTTTTGAACTTCACATAATTGGAAGTACTGTGGTTTCTTCTTAGGATGTGAATAATAATCATGCCTGTCAGTTCATTATTACTGCTGTTAAGACTGACCTGGCTGACCCTACCTGACCCAATTCAGTCATTTGGCTATATAATACAAACACTTCTTCTACTTTTCACCCCTCTCAGAAAAAAGGACTCTGCTTGCAAATAAAGAGACTACTTCAGAAAATCTATGGACAGTGCCTGGGAAGGCTGCACAGACAGTTTTCATTATTTAACTAGTTGTATACTGGCTTCTTTACCTGCATATGTACATCTGTGTCCATAGAGAAGGGGGAAAAATATGAGACTATGTCTCAAACATTCCCTGCTATATTTCTGCTGCTAACCAGTGCTAACCACTGGAGCTAATGACAGAATGGCGATTACAGACACTGGAAGACTGACTTTTGCACCTCTATCTTCTAGACCTACATGGTTTAGTGGAGGTACATGCTGTTAACATCTGTACTCCCTTGAGAAATTTGGTACTAGAGATTTAAAGGATGTTCCTGAATCTTTAACTTAAGGGTCATCGCTCCCAAAGAAATGATAGGATTTGCAAGTTACTAGTTGACTCTGTATTCACTGTTAAAAGAAATGAGTGTAAGGTAAAAGCAAATGGGAGTTTACTAAATGGAAAGGTATTTTTCACTAATCTGTTCACCATACTTTCTATGTAAGAAGTGCTGTTGAGTTTTAAACATGGACATGATCTACAGCAGTTTATTGGCCCAGAGGGTAGAAGCAACAGAGTAACAATACCTCCAGCATTTGGGTAAGCATCTAACTGATTGCAAACAGAGGCTGAATGTTTCCTTCTAGACTGGGTAGTATTCAGATCCCAGAGCGAGACCTTTGCACATTCTGAGATCTGTAGTGGTAGGCTGCACTTACCATATAAAGAGCACAAAACTTTCCAGCTGAGTGGAGGGTGAGAGAAATGTACAGGGGAAAAAAACAAATAAAATAAGGCACATTAAAGGCTCTGAAACTGAGGGATAAACTGAGTGGAAGAATTAGGGTAGAGGATCTTTAGAGTATTTGATGAGAATTACATTATCTTTGCTGCTTCCTGTCAATAGGTTGAAAAGGAGTTGAAATTTTGGCAAATAAGTATATTTTAATGGTTGCATGGGGAAAGCTTTACACTATACTGGTTGCTTTAAGGTGAGGAAAATAATTAGTGATAGATTTTTTTATGATTGCTATGGGTGGCAGGTATATTTACCATTTTAGTATTGAAGAGAATGAGAGAGAAGAAGGAGGTTGGAGAATGAGTGGCTTATGGAGTAAAAAAGGTTTTACTGATAATGAAGTGAGGGAAGTCTGTGAGACTGGATCAAACTAGTGCTCCACCCTGGCCAGTGGCCCGCATCAGTTGTCTCTGAAGAATGTTTTGGAAACAGCAATATACAGCTTCAGAAATAAGCCATTGATAGGACAAATATTTTCCTTGTTCCCAATGTGTGTTGAGGTTCTTTTTCTGAACTTGAAAATTTGCATAGCTTTCAGGAAAAAAACAGGGGTTTTTTTAAAACATCCAATCTGCTTTAAAGCCTATTAAGTTCTTAATCTTCATGTTATTTTAGGCTCTTAAATTTTGGGGGAGGGAGCTGCCCTCAAAACCTCCCAGTTTAAAATACAGTCTTTTAAATAAATTTCATTAATTTTCCTTTGTAGAGGGAGGGAAAACATTCAGGTTCATATCGTGCCCCGATACCTTCTCTTTTGCGTGCCATCCTCATTCATCTCTTCTCTAAGCTAACTGTTCCAAATCCATTCAATCTTTTTGGATGCCAAAAGCTTCCGTGTCTTAATTAATCTCCTCCCTTTTTCTCTGAACTCTTTGTTTTCTAAATTCTTTTGACCTGCAATGACCAGAGTTGAATACAATATTCCAGATGATAGTGAATCATCACTTTATATTAATGGAATTTTAGTTTTCTTTCATTTGCCTTTTGAAACCTAATACTTGCTTTCTTTAACTGCCTGCACACATTGCACCATGTTTTCCATTGAGCTATCCATGAGGAGTCCTAGGCCTTTTTTCTTAGCTCTTACAGTTTTGTCAGGAACCACAAATTCATAGATGTAATCCTATTATTCCATCCACAGGCATTTCTGAACGTGGAATCCGGTTGTATGTTACTTTTTAAAGTTGCTTTATGAAAGACTTCAGTCCTCTCTGCTTTTAACTAACTTCAACATGCAGAAAGATTGTGACATTCCTATATTGTTATCAGACAGTAAAAAGCATTTTAAAGCTTCATTTTAAAAGTAGTACTTTGCAACTGTTGCTTATAGCAACCCCTTGAGATTAGATTAGAAAGAATGATTGTATCCCATAAAATAATCTGGTTTTTCATTTATACCTTATGTGATAATGTCAGTATGCCAAAATGATAGCTGACAGTAATCATTTGAAGAGATGAGACCATGCTGTCACGGTAGCATTGAGAATGCTGAGGAGCTGCTGAACGCGAGGCAGAAGGGTATAGTGAGCGTTGTATTTCCACCACCGTTACACAGTTCCCACACACATGGCTTTATTATCTTAATCACCATTTTAAGCACGTGCTTTGGCAGGAGCTCCCCAGTTCTCAGGGAGAGAGGGAAGGAGAAATGCGCTGGTTCCCTGTTGTTTTCTGAAGGATGTACAGGCTTTAACAGCCAAATTATTATTTATTCACTCACCTTTGTGATACTGCCATCACCAGATTCTTGTGCACACCACAAGAAAATTGGCACTGTACTTCTATTTCACATGTGCCAGATGTTGTCCAGTCTTTTCAGTATTTTTCCATATTTGTCCATCTTTTTTCTGCATTTTCAACTGAACATTGTCATCTGGTTTCCTAAACGTACTTCATTGACAGGAATATTTGAAAAATCTGTAATACTTTCAAATTCCCTTACTCTGGACAAGTTTCTCTGCCCTACAATGTTGTCGGCTGTTTCTAGGCTGTATTTGCAGAATCCAGGGCTGAATACTACCAGACTGTCATGTTATGCTTCAGCCAGCTTCATGGTCCACAAACACCTCTGGTGCTTACATGTTTCCTGCCTTTTGTCTTTGCTTTATTGTATCTCATGTGAATAACCTTTTCCTGTGAGGCTGACATTAACTCCCTTGTCAGCCCTCTTTTATAGAGTTGTTTAAAATTTGACAACAAGGAATGAGGAGGCATTCTGTGATGGTGGGAGCAGGAGGAGGCAGAGCCAG